TGCTTAAGGAATCCTTTAAAATATTTGTATCTATATTTCCCTCATACATTAATTAAGCATTAATTAAGGACACTGGAAGAAAGGCTCTAGAAAAATGAAACACATTTTATTTTATATTTGTCTTTTTCATTTTTTTGACCTAGAAATTAACAGTTATTCATTTGGAAATGGTTTTTCAAAAACATTTGCTATTTTACCTGAGCCATTGTTATTTAAATCTTGGAAGACAATGGCTGATATGTACAGGTAAGATATTAGTTGGAAAAGCTAATTTGTAAGTAACAGCGCTATTAATAAATTTAAGGATATAAAAAATTCAACCCGTCACCATTTTGTTTAATAGGGAAAGGATACTTTTTTTTGACAGTCTGTGATACAAACAGAATGTATAGAACTCACACTGTTAACAGGATCATCAGCCTCTCCGTTTTACACATCATGCTGTAACATTAGCCAAAAACTGATTGCAGGAAGTCTTTGAGTATAGATTTACACAACTAAGCTTCCATGAGAGCTTCAATTGAATGTAGCTTTTGGGGTTGCCTAGAAGCTTTTATGCGTAGAATTCTACATAGCAGCTTTGCAGCATGCGTGTGTGGGAGTGCCGGAAACCGGAAGAGCAGTTCCCTGGTTCTCCCGTGTGTGCGAAGACCAGCTGGCCAGTGTGCATGTGCACACCAGAACCCGGAAGAACAACAGGCAACGGCTGGCGTACCCGGAGAGATGGCTCTGCATGCCACTTCCGGCACGTGTGCCATAGGTTCGCCATCACTGACCTAGATGTAGCATTGGTTATGTTATATTGCACAGAAAAAAAATGTTTCTGTGGAATCTTTGCTGCTCTTTGAGCTTGGCTGTTTGCTAGCAGATATTTCATTTCCCAACTAGGTGACATCTTCAATGCAAGTAAGTTTGGCATTTGCTCCTTGTCTACATACAGTAGTTTGCCCTCCAGGTTTTGATAAATCAGCCATCATTAGACACATAGAAATTAACCATATTTACATATCATACAAAAGAAACAATAAAAAGACCAGAATACATTCTTTTCAGCAGCCAACTTTGAGATAAGCAGGTATAAATATAAAACAAAGAATGAAGCAGAACATAATACCCTAATCAGGACCTATCTAGGAGAAAACCATATATTTACCAACACTGACAGGGCAAGCTACTACACTGATGTTACGTAGTTGAGGAATGAAACATCTGCAAGCAAACATCAGAGTCAGAGAACCCTGAGCTACATATATTTTCTTCTAATGGTATTTTATCTCCAAAGTATTATGTCTACAACTTTGTTTTTAGAGAAACAATTTTCTCTGCAACCGGGTTCAAAACTAGGAAAAGGAAAATAAATTGAGGAATGAAACATCCGCAAGCAAACATCAAGGTCAGAGAGCCTCAAGGACTCCACAATTCAACCCTAAGCTGCATACATTTTCTTCTAATGGAATTTTACCTCCAAACTTTGTTTATAGAAAAACAGTTTTCTCTGCAACCTGATTCAAAACTAGCAAGAGGAAAATAGAAAAATGTTTTCTGTTACTGATTATTGCTTTTAGAAGTGAAGCGTTACAGTAACATATGAAATCATAGGCAATCACATTCAGAAAATTTTAAGAACATTTGTTCAGCTGCTACTGCTATTTTAGTACCATGTACTAGTACCATGTACTGAAATATTTGGCAAGCATAGCTTTTTGAAAAGCTATCCCTGCAAGGGAGAAATTATTCTGCCTTTCCTCAAAGATCTGGATAAGAATGGAAACCATTGAAAAATTCCTTATCTTTTATCTAAATGATATGTGAGCCTCTTTCACCAAGGTTGTTAGTAGGTAGAGTATTGATGCCTTAATATGCATTTCAATTAGTGTAACCTAATCTGACAATCTAAACTTTCTGGAAAATTGCATCTATTGGATTTTAATTACCTACTTTGTGTTTAAATGGATAATTGCACAGTACAGTGGAAAAATGTGCTGGCATACACATTTTCTAATGGTGGTAAAACAAAAGCATTTAAGGTCTACATGCTACAATAGAAAGAGCATAATTAACAAGAAAAGATTATTAATAGATAAGGAAACATTAGGTAAAACCATGATAAGATTATACCTTTGTATTGGTGAAAATTTTTCCAAATGTTCGGCAAAGTCGCCAGAAAAACCTTGAGAATTCATGAACACATGCTGTTGAAGCTACATTGATTTTACCAACAATTTCAATAAGTTGAGGCAACCTGAAAAATCAAGTTTAAGATTAATGTAAGCAAGCTGATTCTTCTTCAGGAAGACTCTGCTGTTCTTGGTGTTTAGGCCCAAACAAGTTATTTTATTTTTATTTAAAATTTTAATGTGATTACAAATATAAACTTGTATTATTCAAGCTTTCTAAAATTAACTAAGATATATCACAACTCTTTTTTAAATTTTTTTTATTGGTTTTTAAAAACAAACATAAACAAAAAAAAAACATAAAACATCAAGCTGTCTTCCATAGGTGTACATACAGTGTGCCGGTTGGTTTACAAATTGTTTTGTGCTTCCATTTCGTAGTCTTCAATTACAATTACATTACATATAATCTCATATTGTCAACCAAAAACTAAATACCTTAGTATCATTATTAATCAATCATTTGACTATACTTTTATTCATTCATGTTTTACAAGATAACCATAATTTACTTAATTTATTGTATAACAGTTCATATTATCATCCCAAATCTATCCTAAAATCATTTTGTAGTTATAATAAAAAAGAAGTACATCTTTATATATTTATTATTTTCTAGAAATCTACATATTTCATTACTGTACTTTATTGTCTTAACCATTGATAGAAAAGATCCCAAATTTTATAAAATTGTTTATCCTCTTGTTCTCTAATTTCAAATGTCAATCTACTCATTTCAGCACATTCCAATATTTTCTTAATGATTTCCTCATGTGATGGTATCTTCTCATTTTTCCAGTTTTTAGCAAAAACAATCCTAGCCGCTGTTAATACATTTACAATCAGGTATTTCAAATCTTTACTATATATTTCAGGTAAAATTCCCAATAAAAATATCTCTGGTTTCAAGTCTATATGTTTTTTCGTCATTTTCTCCAACCACATGTGGATTTTAGTCCAGTATTTTTTAGCATCCGCACAAGTCCACCACATATGGTAATATGAGCCAGGTGTCTGATGACATTTCCAACATTTTTTGGATTTACTCTTGAACATTCTTGCTATTCTTGTTGGGGGGAAATGCCACCTGTAAAACATCTTATACAAATTTTTTTTATATGCTGTTGACATTGTCATTTTATAATTTTGAGACCACAATTTTTGCCATTTCTCTAAATCAATCCCATATCCAAAATTCTTCCCCCAAGCTATCATAGTTTCTTTAACTTGTTCTTCTAGTTTAATTTCTAATAGATATCCATACAATTTTTAATCACCTTTTCATCAGTACCTGTCAAAATCTTATCTAAGTCAGTCAGTTTATCATAGAAACCTTCTTTTTTAGAATCTTTATCATACCTTGAATGTATTTGCGCATATGAAAACCAATTCATCTTTATACCTTGTTCCTCTAGTTTTTGTATAGATTTAAGTTCACCCTTTTCATTCAATATTTCACCATATCTAACTGTTTGTTCCTTTTTGTATATTATAGGATACGAGAATGCTTCAATAGTCGATAACCAGATTGGAATTTTCAAATAACATTGTCTTTTAATCTTCTCCCAGTTTAACCACAGAGACTCCCGTATATAATGTCTTCTAAAATACCCCTGTGTTTTAGTTCCTTTGTACCATAAAAAAGCATGCCACCCCAACAACAAATCATGTCCTTCTTCTTTTTTCCTCATTCGGAGCATATATTGCAATCAGGAGTGTTTTCATATTATTGTCCATTATTTCCACCATTAGTATTCTTCCATCATCAGTATAAATCAATTTTGCTGGGGTGGTCTCTTTGATATATAAAACCACTCCTCTTTTCTTACATTGTGTCAAGGAAGTGAATATTTTCCCTAATTTTGGCTGTACCAACAATTGTTCATATTGTTTTTTAATATGTACTTCTTGTAGACAAATTATATCAAATTTTAATTTCTCCAATTTATGAAAAGTTTTCCTTCTTTTAACGGCTGAGTTAAGTCCATTTATATTAATTGTAATCATTTTTTTCTCTTCCATGGTTATATTTTATAATTAGGTTTGGCAGCTCTCGTAGATCTTAATACACGTTGTTCTTTGGCTTCTACCTTTCCACCTACTGCGCCTTCTTCTTTTTCAGTCGCCATTTGACAGTCCTCTTGAAATTCAATTAATGAGATCTCTTTTTCTGCCTCTTCCTCTTTCCTTCCAAAAAATTCTGTATAAAATAATTCCGCTTTCTCAATTGAGTCAGTTCTGTGTCTCTGTTCTTGCCATGTGAACATTAAACCTTCTGGAATCAGCCATCTATAATTCACCTCTTTTTAAAGTAGCATTTTAGTCAAGAATCGGTATTCTCTTCTCATCTCTCTCACTCTTCTGCATATTTGTTTCAAGACCACAATCTCCTTGTCTTTGTATTTCAATGTTTTCTCCTTTGCCACTTGCAATATTTGCGTCTTAATGGCTTTCTTTGTAAATCTAATGTGAACTTCCTTTGGTAGGCTATTTCTCATCGCATATCTTGTGAAAACTCGATAAACCTCATCTATTCCATCCATCATCTTCTCTTGAGTTATTTCCAAGGCTTCAGCCAGTATTTCTATCATTATCTCAGCTAAGTTTTGTCCTTTTTCTTCCTCTATGTTTTGAAATCTAAGATAGAATTCTGATCTATCCATCTCCCATCTCAACATGCCACTTTTATCTTGTTCAACCACCGTTAATCTATTGTCCATATCTCCAATCTTCTTGTCTCTTTGTTTATCTTCTTCAATTTTTTTGGAATCTCTCATCATACTTCAACATCATTTGTTGGATGTTCTCCACTTTTTCATCGGTTTTCCCTATTCTTTGTCTGTATTGAATGTTGTCCTCTGGATGGTGGAGAGGAAGAAGTAGAAGTTGAAGAACCAGGAGCTGTACATTTCCTACTCATTTTAAGCAATTCAAAATCTTCAGGTTCTTCTAAACCTTAATCCAATTGTGAAATAACCAATTGTAGTTCAAAATAAAAATAGTCAAAAAAAAGCAGGCCAGTAATAATAATAAAAAAAGGAAAAAGAAGAGAAAAAAAGAGAGGACAAAATTTCTTCAAGTTCTTGTATACCTTAATCCAATCAAAAATAAGACAAAGAAAAGAGCTTAAAAAAGGAGAAAAAGAGAAAAAGGAAAAATTCTTCAGGTTCTTCAACACCTTAATCCAATTGAAAGGTCTCAGATAGAAAAAAATGCATAAAAATAAACCAAAAAAGTAGATGAAAAAACAAAAATACCAGGGAAGGAAAAAAAATGCTTTTAAGGCTTTCCCTTTAAAATAAAAAGCAAACGTAGAGGTTGGACTTCCAAAAAAAAAAAAAAAAAAAGAAGAGAGAAAAACAAAGGCAAGCTCCAACCCAAACAGTTATTACAAAGGAGATTTAAAAAAATGCAATAAAGCTGGTGAGGAGGGATAACACAACTTACGAAAAATAAAAAGAGCACACTACACTTTATTTAATTATCCAAGGATTTATTATAGCTCTCTTCTCCAAAAACTTATCACCTTTCCCCCCCTACATTTCAACACCAGACTCCAGCTGTTGATAGAATCCCAGAAGAGCACCTGCAATAATACTCTCTCATGCTCTTCCCTCTATCTTATCAAATAGCAATGTCCTTGAAAAAGAGTCTCAGTTCTTTCCTTCTCAGCTTTGTCTGGTCACAGGGAAAAAAAATATTTTCAAGCCTCTAGTTGGCAGTGTTACAAAGTTTCTTTGCTCTCACTTTCCCCCTCCTTTTCCGAGCAGAATATAATGGGAGTTAATAAAAAGAAGAAAAAAAGATATATATATTTTTAAAAATGAATTAACTAAAGGAAGCCTCTAGCCTAAAATATTACAAGTCAAAAAGGAGAAGAAAATAAATAAATAGATATGAACAAGAAAACCAGTCCAGTTCCAAAATACAAGATCGTATAAAAAAAATCCAAAAATGAGAAAAAAACCCCAAAGCATTACTTTGACACTCCTGTTTAAAATCGCCGCTTAGTCACTTCTGTCAAAACTTTTACAGATTCTTTCTTTCCTTTAGGGTGTCCTTTCAGATCTTAGAGTAAAAAAAAAAAGTTCTCATCAAACCGGCACACTTTCTCTTTCTGCTCTCTTCCGTTTCAGAGCTGTCCCAACTTCAGCAGCTTTAATGACTGCCTCTTTGCCGCTGGCAAGAAGAGCTTCTCCTGGATCTACCAGGGACTTTGTGGTGTCCCTGGGATCGACAGGATGCGCTCTTCACTTTCACCGTCTCTTCGGGACGGTTTAGGCCCAATTGGATCATCCAGGAGCAAAGATATCGGCAGCGATATCAGACCTCCAAGATCGCATGCCGTATCGTCGCGACGCCAGCTCCCCCCAAGATATATCACAACTCTTAATGACAACATTTTGTATACATTTTTGCATACAACCATAATGGAATCTGGAAATTCTGGCATTAGTGACAATGGTTGTAAGCTGAGACACCTATATGACCAATCCAATTAAGTGAATGCTCTGGTTGTAAAGTGAATAACACAATCGTTAAGCAAATCCATTCTTTTCTATTATAAAATATTATAAATTGAAGTCATGTGACTATGGAATGTTGTAACTGGCTGTAAATGTGAACCAGTTGCCAAACAACTCAAATGCAGTCATATGAACTCCAGAAGGGAACTCCAGAATGGCTATAAAAACCTTTTGGGGAGCCTTTGAATTTTTACTAAGTGGCTCGTCATTAAGCAAGCACTACCTGTAGTTCATGATAACATTACAGGGCAACGCACATCACCAGGAGTCAACTATGAGAATGTGATCAATACTAAACAGACTGTCAGCTTTTTGGTCAGCCTGAATTCCAGCTATGGGCCTGTCAGCATTTTGGTCAGCCCGAAATCTAGCTATGGGCCTGTGCAGCATATTTTCTGCATGGTATTTTAAATTTTATTTTAATATTTTAAATTTAAAATATTTTAATTTTTAAATATATTTTAAATTTATATATTTTAATTTAAAATGTTCTGAGTTCAGAATTGTTAAGTTTGAAACTGAGTATGAGAATACTAAGTGTTCTAGCCATTCCGGAAACATCCACAGCTTTAAACATTAATTTAAAATTTAGTTTGCAGCATTTCTAGAATGGTCAGAACAGTGTTGAAAAATGTCTAGCAATGTTGAGACACCTAATCTGAATCTAAAAGTAATGTTTCTGAATTAAGAGGTTTAAATATGAAAAAGTTTTGCATGCTACCTGTAGTCATCTGAAAATGCTGAAACAGATTATAGTGTAAATTTTGAAAGATAGACATTAAAAATATTATTTAAAAACAAAATTATCAAATGGAACAAAACAAGGAGAACTCACAGTTGATTGACAACCCATAGTAAGGTATCCCATCCTGTGGTACCCTCATGTTCTAACTGGTAATCATAAAGCTGCAACAATACAGCTAGTTGTTCACGACTTCCGATTATAGTGGCCACATCCTGTAGAGGTGATACAGGTCTTGGGAACCTTGTTACTGAAAGCAAACAACCAAAATATTTATAATTAAAAAATAAAACAGGTTTTAGTTAAATTGATAATTAAAATAAATCCAGGACACAAGAAACAATATTTATATTGTAACTGAGAAAATCACATGTACGTGTCCATGCAATCTCTAGAAATGAGCGCAAAAATTTATCTTCTGATAACATTGGAACAAGGTAACTTTTATTGTCACTTCTCTATCTACACAATGGCACACATTAAAAGGAAATTCCAATGCCTGCTCTCAAAGAATACACACACACACTCTGTATATACACATACACATATACTGTATGTGTGTGTGTGTGCGTGTGTGTGTGTGTGTGTGTGTGTATGGCATTCAGCTTTGTTCGGATATTTTCCCACGTCATTGCAGTTGTGCTTTTAAAGTTGTAGCAACGTTTCAGCAGAATCTCATCTGCCATCATCAGGCTTCTGTATAGTGTTCATCTGTATACAGAAGCCTGATGATGGCAGATGAGATTCTGCTGAAACGTTGC